AAAAAAAAAAAAAAAAAAAAAAAAAAAAAAAAAAAAAAAAAAAAAAGGAATTTATCTACAAAAAGTATCATGTGACAAGTAACTTCGTATTGTAAATCAACACCAAACAACGGATTCATAAGTGTATTTGTTTAAATGGAAGTGAAAATTTTGCACCTGAGCTACCAAGCAAACAACACCAAGCTATATTACAGCTAAGTACCAAACAAAAAAGTACGTAAGATTTATTAAGTCGCGTAAGCATGTACCGGGTTGGAACGTACTCTTGGATGATTATTCCTCGAAATGCACCATTACGAGACAACAAAACAGATTCGATGAATCAGGGGTCCGATGATGCTTTGATACACGCAATTGTGTTCGAGATTTATCGTCACAACACCAACCTAACTTTTTGATGTTCAAAGGTATATTATGACAGTAAATCTCGAAAGCTATATTGCGTGTATCGAAAAACTCAATCAGACCCTAGCCGTATCCACCAAATTCCTACTAATCTCTAAAGTGCCTTTCCCCCTTCTGCTCTCGATTCGTTCGTTTGCCAGTTTACGAGCACTGCCTGTACACCTGAGCTTTCGAGTTGAACTCCTCCAGCTGTCTATCCATCTCGTCGTTGAGACTGTCCACCTCGTCCATGAGGTCGCGCAGCAACCTGTCGTTGTCCTTGTAAACGCTCTCCATGCCATCCAGGTCCTTGAGTTTGCTCTGCGTGTCGACCGTCAGTTCGGACGCCCGTTGAAGCAAACCCTTGGCCCTCGTTATGTCGTCCTTGCTCTTGTTGACCCGTTGGCTCAGGGAATCGCCGACTTGCCGGTACTCCTGGCTCAGCCTGTCCGCGTTGGCCTGCACCTTCTTCGCCTCCTCGCTTATGTTGCTCGCCTGCTGCTGGATCTCCTGCTTCACCACGAAGTCGTTTTTCACCGACTCCGTCTGCAGATGCATCAGCCTTTCCTCTGCAATTAACAAAACCACATCGACACGATTCTCCCCAAATGGTATGGCGGGTGGTCGTACTTACCAAGATCGTTGACGGAATTTGACGTGTCGTCGGCCTTTTGTTTCGCTGCCTTGGTGATCTGCGAGATCTCGTCCAGATCGTGCTGGGACATTTCAATGTCCGTTTCAGCTTTTCCGATGGCCTCCTGAGCCGAATCTTGGGACGCTTGAGTCTCTTGCAGCAAATTGATTACCTTGCCGGCCAGGGCTTCCTTATCTTGGGCCATGGTCTTGGTGTAGTTGGCTCGTTCCCTGAGCTCCCTAGCCAACTGAAGGTCGCCCGACGTCTCATGGAGGATGCGTTCCGGGTCACTGAGCGAGCCCACGATTTCCGCGATTTGGTCGGCCAGGCCTTTGATCTCCTCGGGCGTGAGGGTGATATTCTTTGACAACACCTCCTTGGCCAGGTCTCTCACTTCGGCCGGCGTTGGTTGCTCGGCCTTCAACAAGTCCACGATTTTTTTGTTCACGTCCGACAAGTCTTTGATCAGTTTGTCCGACTGGTTACGCGCGCTCGAGGCCAGATCGAAAGCTTCTTGGGCGTTGACTAGAGCTCCCGAGGACGTTTCTTTCAGACGGATCATCTGAAATGTGGAAAAGTCAAAACCTTAATTCTTCATGCGAGTGTAATGGCGTTTGTACAAAGTATGGTTACTTACGTTACGCAGCAAGGATTCAGCTTCGTCCTTGTGGTTCTTGATTTTGGTAGATTGCTGCTTGGCTACGTCCAGCGCCTGGCTGGCCTTGGTCAAGGCGCCAGAGTCGCAGGACAATCCACCGCAGAAACCGCAACCAGCGCCACCGCAAACGTCACTGCAGTCCGACACGTTTCTGCCGCACATGTCCTGATTCAATGCTGGAATGTGGCCTTTGAGGGTTTCCAGTTTGTCATCCAGTCTCTCGAGCGATTCTTTGGTCTTTTGTTTATTCTCGGCGACACTGGCGCTGCTTTTCACCAGCAGATTTTCCGTATTCTTCTTGTAACGCTCGGCATCTTGCAAGATGCTGTTCGTTTCCGCGGCCATTTTCTCAGCCAGTCGCGATTGATCGGCCATCTGTTGGGTAACGTTCAGGGCACCCTGAACGTTAGCTTCCTGCAAACGGTTTGCGCTCTCGCGTAAGTCGCTCGCGTCTTGGTGCAACTTGTCCGTTCGGTTCTTGAATCTCTTCAGCGCGGCGTCGGCTAGGGTCACTCTCTGGGTCACGTTCTCCAATTGGCCGTCCAAATCCTGCAAAACGGCCGTGCTTGCGTCGATGTCCTTGTCTAATTCGTTGGCCAAGTGGTTTAAATCCTCGAGATCTTGGCTCTTTACCGACGAATTTTCGATGACGGCGTTTATCTAAACAACGTATTTCTCCCTTAAAAACTGCTCAATAATTTTGTGATTATTTACCTGTAAAATTTGTGAACAAATACCTGAGCAATGGAATTTTCGATGTTGTCAAACTCTTCGCTGTAGATACCAGTGGTACCAACTTTTTGGATGTTGGATGCTTCGTCGATGACAAATAACGTCTTATTCTTCAAACCATTGAGGATCGCGTCCCAATTATCGAAACACTCGCCACATGGTGAACAACTTGGTGCTGTACCGATGTAGCTACGGTCGCACTGGTCACATTTATCACCGCCGATACCTTGATGACAGATGCAAACACCCGTTTCACGATCACACTGTTGGCTCGCCGAACCGATTTCGTCGCACTCGCATGGGTAGCACTCCTTGTTTGGATTACCCCAGTAATTGGCCTGGCACTCGTTACACTGACGGCCTCCAAAGCCGGGCTTACAATCACACGTACCATCGAATGGATTGCATCTGTAACGATAAAAAGGGATTCCGTTACTAATCAGATTCTCGAAAACCTTGAATTTAAATTTTTTAGTTACTAACTTGTCGTGAATACTGCCGACCACGTCACATTCGCAAGGATCACATCCTTCGCCACTGGCAATTCGCCAGTGATTCTCTTCGCAAGTGTCACAAACTTGTCCGATGACGTGGGGCAAACAAGGGCATTTACCAGTGCGATGGTCACAAGGTCCAACCCTGGCATCGGTACCAAGGATGTTGCATTGACATGGCTGGCAATTTTGCTGCAAGGCGTCGCCGTAGTAATCGGCTTTGCAAACCTGACAGTTGAAACCGTCGGTGTCGTAAAGACATTGAAGACATTGGCCAGTTTGGGGATCACAGTTTCCTGGACGATTCAGATCCGTGTTATTGTTGCAATCGCAAGCTTGGCACTTGCCTCCCGGTGTTTCTGGATTTCCAAAGAAATTATCCGCACAAGTGTCGCAACGTGTGCCGGCGTAACCCTGGTAGCACTCACAAATAACGTCGTGAGTGAACGGGTCGAGGGAGCAGCTATCAGCATAAGAATGACCGCTTTCCAGTGTTCCTACAAGTTGAAAAGAAAAATGTCCATGCTTTAAAAACTTGTGGACGTACCACTCGTTGGAAAAGTATGTCTTTCACACTTGCCTGGACAAGGACAAGGTCTGCAAGGGATGTCGACTCCGATTCTGGGGTCACCGTAAAAAGCTTCGACACAGCGATCACAATTGTGCCCGGTGGTCGAGTCTCTACAGTCGATGCACACTCCGGTGTTGGAGTCACAAGTGTCGGCATGACCGTTGCACTCACATCTACGACAGTGTGGAAAGTTCCAGAAACCTGGCTCGCACTGGCCGCAAGTTCTTCCGTAAGTGTTGGGCCTGCATTTGCACCTTCCGGTGTCCACATCACAGAAGTTGTCCAAAGCGCCGACACTGTCGCAATCGCAAGGAATGCAACCCTCTGGTCCAAAACCATACGTACCAGGACCGCAACGATCACATTTGCGACCTATCACGTTGGGTTTACACGAACACGATCCTCCGTATTTTGGGCAGAGCAAACTGTGTGAACCGGTGGGATTACACTCACAGGCTGTGAAAAATCAAGCCCGGATTGAAATTTTCGCTTTCACGACGTCTCAACTCCATTTCAACTAATTTACACTTACAATGTGCTCCATCGAAAACGTAAAGTCCGATGCTATTTTGGTAGGTGGTGCATGTATCTCTTATATCACTTCGGTTCTCGTAAATGGTGTAGTAATCGTACATATTGTTGAAATAGTCTTGACATCTGAATCTTTCGTATTCTTGACGGCGAATCTCACCCGGTGGTCCGGTGAAAAAGGGAATAGAGTCCAACCTTGGACTTAGCACGATCTGAAATCGCGATACAATGGTGTCTATGTTACTAGTTGAATATTGATATTAATGTTCATAATTCAAAAGTTTTGTCGTAAAAATACTTACGGAATCAATCAGTATTGAGCCGGTCGTTGAATCGGTTGGTCCAGCAAACTTTCTCAGCTCCAACAACACGGTGTAGATTTTACCTGCCTCGAGACATATCGATGGAGTTGCCATGGAGCTTCGTTGATTTGTGGGCAGTTGCACTGAAAGATGATCGTACTCGGGTCGCCAGTCAGCACAAGGCCCTTCCGGATTCGGAGGTCCGTCGCGTTCAACGATTATCTGTGCGTCTTCCCAAGTGCCTCCATATTTGGGTTCGTAGCGCACAATTATGTCATAATACATGGATCGTAGAACATTGTCAATTGTGAAATTGAGGACTGAACCTTCGATCACCTGCATGAAACCTATGCCCGTCCACGTACTGTTGCGACCGTCACGGTATGGTTCACGTATCACTATTTGGCAGTTCTATGAATCATACAAGTTCCAAATGTTATTTATTTGCCATGAATCCCGGGAAATTCATCAATAAGAATTCTATACTTACATCCGTGCCTTTTGCGTATTCGCCCTCGTAGGTAAGATAGTCGATGGGTCCCGTGTAATAACTCTGGTCTGGTTGGTTGCAAGTGCGGCCACTAACGTGTGGTCGACAATAACACTGGCCAGTGTAAACGTCGCAGCTGTTATTGTAGGAACCACCAAGATCGCAGTCACAAGGCTTGCAACCTTCGTGCTCCTCCGACAATCCCCAGTACTCGGGCAAGCATTCGTTACAATCACGCCCAACCACGTAGCGCTTGCAGGTACACTCGCCGGTCACCATGTTGCAACCCTGGTTGTCAATTGTACCCAAGGTATTACACGTGCAAGCTAAAACCAAAGAAAACTCGTTAAAAATCGTTTCGTACAATGGTGGGAGAAATGGGTACCTTGACATCCTTCGGGGTTGTCTTCGGTAAAGTTCCAGAATCCGTTTTTGCATCGGTCGCAACGCCGTCCTTCCACGTTGGTTTTACAATGACAACGTCCCGACTCATCCCCGCTGAGTTGATCGGTACGGGAGTCGCAAATTCCATCGTCCAGTGATCCCATGGGATCGCAATCGCATGCTGCAATGACAACACGTACGATTGTACATATGGGAATTGAAAGAAAAACCATCTTTGTGGAGCTTGACGAACTCACGTTGACAAGCTTCGGGATCGGTGATGTCTTTGGAGGGATCGTGGTAGAAGAAAGGCTTGCAGAGCTCGCAGTTCTGTCCTCTCGTGCTGTGCTGGCAGTCGTCACAAACTCCACCGGAAACTCGTCCACTCCTCTCGTAAACAGCCTCGTCAAAGTGACAGCTGGTCGCGTGATTGTTACAATTACACCTGCGACAAGCGTTGGTCTGTTTGCCCACCGCCGGCTTCCACGGCAAGTCGTTGTAAAAGTCCTCGCATTTCTCGCAATTCCGGCCCTTGGTGTTATGGGTGCACTCGCAGCGCCCGTGAACCATCTCATCCTCGTGGGCTACGCCCTCTAGGGGAAGGCAGCGCGAGGCGTGGCCGTAGCACGAACAGGAACCACGGACTACCATGTCCCTGATCGCGTAGTAGTACTTTTCCCGGATTTCTGGCCGGTTGTCCAGCAAATCGTCGCCGAGGGTGTGCAAGCGCGTGAAATTGATGCGCATGTTCGTCATCTTCAACAGGTTCTGGACCTCCTTCGAGTACGGATTGTCGATCGGCACGTTGTTTGGCAAGACTCTAAAAGGTTACCAAACAACTCTATTATTGTTCTACAACTAAAAGCCAATTCGGTACGAAGGAACAGTAAATAACAACTACAATAAACGATGAATATAATCACTCGAAGCTTACGTATTCTCAACCTCTCGTAGGCTGCAGTGTGGCAAAGAGAGAGAAAAAAAAAGACATTAAATAGAACTGGCGTCCTGGTTGCACGGCAAAAGCGTTTTACCTGAATATGATTTCACCGTTGGACGAGGGCTCGACGTTGGAGTACCGCGAGTCGCAAATGACGTCGGTAAGTTTGCGGGGCTGGTGCGTGGGTATTCCAGGAAACGAGCTCGCACAGTCGTGGGCAAAGTAACGATAAACCTGCCAGGTGCGCCCAAAATCGTACGAGCGCTCGATCAGCATGGCAGCGGGCCGAAAGGTCTGGAAGTGGATGATGATGTGGGTGAAGTGGAACTCGGCCTCGAGATCGAAGGTGATGGTGACGTTTTCCACCCCGTTCTCGGACTGCCACCAGGTTCGTTCCCGGCGTCTGTGGGATAACCAAGTTGTTAAAGGTGGATGAACCCCCGTGGGGGTCGATGAGACCTACCCTCCAACCACGTTCTCGATGTTGTGTTGTTGCCTATAGTGGGAGGCGTCGCAGAAGAAGCACTTCTTGCGCTCCTTGAGGTGGGAGACGATGCAGTATCGCTCGGGTCCATTGAGGCCGCAGGTCGAGGACGCGTGCAATTGCTTCTTACGTCCGATCAGTAGGTTGCCGGTGGCCGGGTAGCAGGAACCCCGCTCGCACGGGTGGATTCGCTTCGCCTGAGAGCCTGTTTCAGGGGGTAATAGTTCGACGTAAGTGGTGGGAAAATTTTAACCGGAAACGAGAGCCTTGAGAAGCAAGGATTTTTGGGTTTATGCGGGATACTCTACTGGAATCAACCTACGCCATTATGACCTTTCAAGTGCCACACGGGTTAGGAGAACTGATTCGTATATTAGTGAACCCAATCAACTGAAAGTTAGTTGGTGCGATTGATATTGATTGTTGAGATGTCTAATTTGGTACGATAATTGGTGCAACTGTTAATCGGTTTAACTTTTTTTTAAACAATTTTGAGGTACCACCGACTACGGGAGTGTGTTGTGTTTTTACCAGAGCACAAATTATCGGTTGTTCAGTCTATGTGAAATCGATTTTGATCCTAAAATAAGTTTGGCAAGGTTTCACAAAAGTGCAGATAAAATTTATCTCCCGAAAACTAGATTCAAAAATAAATGAAACAGTTTATTTCATGTTATTTTAATAGTTGCACAAAAAAATACAAGTAGGTACTATGAACGAGACTTTCTATGTATACTTTTACTGTGAAAAAAATCATTTTAAAGTAAAATAAACCTTGTGTATTGTATAACACATTTGGTATCAAAACACGTTTGAAAACAAAATAATCAGCGTCACGTATATGATAATTAATTCCATGCTTTTCGCTCTGGTAAAAACATCGTGCCTTAAAATATGCCAAAAATGATGTTTCGAGGATAAACTTTATGTAACCACTTTTTATTCGTGGTTATCGAGAGTTATACATTGTGCATTTCGTTTCCAACCTTTCCCAGTGCAAACATTACTCGGGTAATTGTTACGAAAAATTGAACAAACGATTAATACCTAGTACACCCTATTTCGTGAATTCATTTTTAGTTTTCTCTATTACAACTACCTCTGGGTTGTAGAACGCTCGACCACGACCAGTTGTGGTATACGTTCGTGCCTTCGGTATTGGCCGTAATGTCGCCTCGTTGGACTGTGCCTACAACATCCCATCTCGGCGTCACTCCTCGCGTTTTATCTCGTGCGGGTATTTCGTAAAAATTTTACGTTATTCGAGGTCCATTGCGTGATTCTAATCGCGCTCTTTATTTTTTTTTAATTGAAACATGCGGGCTCGTAAATACACGTACCATCAAGGGTACAACTTCAGACTTGGGTACAAATACTTTAAACTAAATTGTTTATTTTTTTTTCTGTATCTTTTTGAAAAAATTGGCGCAACGTATCCTTAGAGACATTAAAATTAATAGTGTACTATTTGAAAAAGCGTCAATCGATAACTCTTTTGAAAAAAAAAAACCAGTAAAGAATCTTACCTCGCCCTCTCGTGACGTGCCTGTCGTAATCTTGAGCATGGGTGGCATAAAAAATCACTGCAAATAAATGAAAATGAGATGATTAAAAATCAATCGTTTCGATTGAAAGCTCGAAGAAAAAAAAAATAGGACCCAATCAACAGCTCGATTTTTCTCAGCGGCCGTATAACGCAACTATCAATTGCCCAATAAACATATTTATGTAACTCAATGAGCCTCAGTTGAATCTCCGCTCCAATATTGACTCTCGCGAGCGAATCGCCGCTGATCAAAGGGCCCGCAGTAACCCGCTCGTACGCTTGGAAAAAAAAAAGGAAAAAAAATGCTGCTTCACTGGCTCTTTTTCGGAGAAGCGCGTTATCGAGAGCGGTGAGATTATCAGCAAGGGACAGTAGGCGGATGTTTACTAGAAATCGCTCTTTCTGTGCTAATGGATACGTATATGTCGCTCGGAGACTCCGTGTATAATCGAGATTCATTAATGAAACTGTATATGGAAGCTCGGTTAGATCGGTATTTTTAGAGCACCGATGGTCCATTTTTCCGTTTCCGCGTTCGAGGGAATCGTCGTTCATCAGCCACAGAATCAATGGATGGTGCGACGGTTTTCTGTGAAATCGTATAATCACGCGTCTTGTGTACATATGTTCAACAGATCTAAAACGCACGGGTACGAGTTTCGAGGGTTTATCCGGCGCCGATTAGATACCGTCTCGACTCGGCCTATGACCTCGGTGACCCCGTGCCTTTTGAAAAATCTACTAAAATCGTGAGACACGACCAACCGGGCAATTATTTTTTCGTTTTTATACGAGTGCAATAATCCATCCTGCCATCAAAAGCAAGAAAAAATAAATGTAGTAAAAAAAAAGATCGGCTATGGCTTGTCCGATCGGGAATTTCGTCGGTGCCGATTTAGCGAATCCGCAATATTTTCCCAGGCCATCACCCACGTAAAACGATACTTTGCCGATTCGGCGAAAGAAAAAAAAAAAGCTCAACGTACAGCATATAATTTCTCACCGCTAAAGTCGTGCAGTGGGTTTTATCATATATAGAAGCTCTAGGTTGAGCTGTATAAGCGTCTACTTTGCTTTCGAACGACTGTTCCCTTCGATGTGGTGTCATGTTACGCGGCGCGTTGCTGACGATATATTTTCCCTTACGTTTCTTTTTTTTTTTTTTTTTTTTGTTGGAAAACCGATTTTCTCATATAGATGTTGGATGAGGGGAAAAAAAAAGACTTGCCTGTCAAAAAATACAGCAGCACGCCGATCCGGGCCGATTTTCCGATCATTGTGTCGAGCTCCGCCACCCGGAGGGAGGGTATCCTCCGTCCTATTCGGTGCCTGAATCGTCTGCAGGGATGCACAGGCCGCTCAGTCCCTCGGCTCCATCATCTGTCGCACACGAAAAATTCAACTTACATTTTTTAATTTCTGTTTTAGCTAAAAAAAAAAAACATTGTCCCCCCGCACGTGTTGTTCTTCCACACACACACACACACACTGCCCTCCGGAAATCAAAGCCAACTCCCTCGAGACTGGAAAGGAAGGGAAGAAAAAAAAAAAGTCTTCTCGAGAGAGAGAAAAAGAGAGAGAGAGAGAGCGTCTCTCACACCCGTGCTTGGTTCCTCTGACGATCGGTAAGAGCAGCAAAAACCATATGCACGTATATATATTTATTTATAGCAACGCGAGCTGCCTTGGACTCTGTACGGCTACACACTTTGGCGATGGGAATGAAAAAAAGTACCCAATGGAAAAGAGGAGTTGTCTCCATAATCACTATGCACCATCCCTCCAACAAAAAGAAAATAAAAAAAAAATCAAAGTATAAAGTAGTCGAGGGAGCATACACAGGCACTCTCGTGTGTGGACAACAATAACATCGGCTGCGCCGTGTAGCCGTCGGCACTTAACTGTCGTAGAGCACAGTGACCCAACCAACGACCCTTGCAACACTCTCGGATGGGCCAAAAGATGAATAATTTAATTTTTTTGGTTTCTTTTTCTTTTTTTTTCTTTTTCTTTTTTTTTTTTTTAGAAACAAAAACAAAATACAATAGAAAAATTAAATCGAGGGAACGAGGAGGCAAGACGGGCGCAGCATCCGGCGGTGCGCGGGCTGATCGTAGCACTGAACTGTCTGTTGGCGCACGCACACCAGCGTCTGCACTGTGGACTCTCTTTCTCTCCTCCTCTTGGGAGAGAAAGACGTGCCCGTTCTCTTTCTCGTCCCTGTGTATGTGTGTGTGTGTGTCGAGGGGAAAGCCTAGAGCAGAGCGAAAGAGAGGAAGAGGGAAAAGGAGTTCGAGGATGTGTGGGTACATGGCTCGGAAATCTCAGCGGAGATGCTGCGGAAGCCCCTTGGCAGAGGGGCACGAACGACCGGTCGATTAGCGATTTTTCGCCGATCCGCGCGATTGCTCGTTTTTTTCGAGGGGACGTATCGATGGAAAAAAAAAAAACAAAAAAAAATGATTAGGATTTTCCATCGTTTGCGTTTGGTGGCGTATACGTACGCGAGCGTGTATAGGCGAATAAGCGGGGCTTGTTATCGCTCGGCTCCCGCGCCCGAAGATAATACAACCACATGGCGGCCTCCTCTTCGTCTCCGTTTCCGTCCTCCTCCGCCTCCTCCCCTTGCACGTATTCTTCACCCACGTCAACGTCGTCTCCGTCTCTCTTATTTTCCTATTTCTGTCTCTGAGCCTCTATCCACGCTTGTACATGGGTCTTTTTACGAAAATCGGCGCGTTTCCACGGATGAAAGACTCAAACGTTCCCGCTGTGGATGGGCTACAAAAACAGTGGTATAAAATGTGGCGTCATGGCATTTAAAAAAAAGCACCAAGTGAAAATTAAACTCCACCCTTGTGCTCGTATCTCATACGTATAAGCTAAAGTTTTACTCACCGCCATCCTAGTCGATAACTGAGCACTTCGTGTAGATACACTGTACTTAAAATCGTTATGGGTTCTGGGGGCCAATGGTGATGAGAAATTTTTTTTTAAATATCTGTAGTACGTACACTTATCTTCCGCAAAATCAGTCTTGGGCACGAATACTTTGGAAATTTTATTTAAATATAATTTTTTGGTGAAGGTGTAGATTTTTTTTGTTCAATACTACTTACAAGACAATGCCTAACAAAATGTTTTTCAAGAAAATTGGAGATTAATTGAACATTTTTTCAACTGTAAGAATGCGCTTTATTTGTGATAAAAAATGTGTTCCAAGGCGTTTATTGACAAAATAATTGTGCTCAAGTCTGCGTCAAATACAAAACGTTTGAATTGGAGCTTCCAAAATACAACTGTGTACTTGTGTTGTGATATTTTTCAGAGAAATATTTAACTAAACGGATTTTTTTTCATCCACAACAAAAGCATCAATTTTTGTGTAACTGTACAACAATTTCAAGAGAAAAACTCTCTTTGACGTTTAAAAAAGTTTTTAAAACCAAATTTCCATGAATGACGTTTTAATGGATCAGGATCCCAAAAATTCCGTTTTCCGTGAAACAACCCATGTACAACACTTAGCCGCAACCGAGAAACATGCTCTCGAGCTCTATGCCATACACTTCGTATGGTGTACGAGTTCCACCCGTACATACTCACACATTCATATGTCTCGGCAAGCGGTGCTTCTGTGGGGGAGGAGGGGGGGGGGTTTCTGTGAACTATGCCTACTCACGCGGAGGTATAGGGTTCATAACGCGAATGAAGCTATTTTCGACCGAGAGCTTTTCTACTTGTGTAGCTTGTATGGAAACATGAATTTTAATGCGCCCAGCGATTGGCAGCTTTCGACCTCGCAGAGCTTTTTAACGATTTGTGTGTGCTTTCGTTGAGCTTGCCTGTAATAGATCTGCGGGGCTTTTTGATCAAAATAAATACAAGTGATAAAATCTACCATTCGTTTAATTTTTTCCCAGATTCGTTTTTCTGTTTTTGTTGTCAAAGAAGGAAAGAAAGGAAATATAGTCCAGTCGACGAAATGGTTTGTTAAGCACGGGTCATAGTAAATAATAGAATATGAATGCTCGATCTACGTGCAATACATGCGGAGTTTCCGTGAAATCATATCATAAAATTGCGATTCTGCAAAACGAGGGCGCGAAAAAAAATGTGTATCCGTAAAAGGATACGAAACATTTAGAGAAGACTCAAGTGTTGTGCTTAACTATACTTATAAAATGCATTCAATTAGATGCATCGGAGCTGCTTTCATCAGATACCATAAATCTCTGCGCAATATTAGAATATTTGCACGTGTATAGTACAAAAGCAAATCAAAAATAATTGCATTGACATGTACAGAAAAAATCAACATCATGCTTTATAGTTTTATAACACTAGAGATCATTTGAAGCAATATACACTAGTTACAGTGAAGCACTTACTATTTCAAAAAAATGATCCACGACTTACTGATTTTGCACAAGCTTTATTTATTTTATGTAGATTTTTTCACGCTTCTTACATCTGGAGTCTGTAAACAAATGTCTAAATTTTGATACCATTTGTAAGATATTAGATTCATTCCTTTTTCTAAGAATCAATAACAAAACTAGAATGTATTAATCAACAGCGAATAATATTTTTATTTAACAAAATCCACAAAAGATACAATTTTTTTTTTTTATTTAAAGATAATTTTATAGTGTCAACAGTCGAACGACATATTATGAACGAATTACCGCTCTTAAGGCCATGATGTAGGAAAAAAGTCCGTAAAGAAGCTAAAAGCAAAGCCATATTTATACAACGATTCATTTTATAATGTAAGATCTGATACTTACACTACTTAAATATCTTATGTCCCATGACTCTAGGATACCAGGGATTGATACACCCAGTGGTTTTTGACTTCTTAATATTACAATGGACTTAGCTAATGCAATTTTACGACTCTGCTGGTGCCAATTTGATGAATACACTGCCAATACTATGTCATGTCCCTAAGGATATACAATTATTATTTTAAACAAAATAAATTCCCGAAAAAAAAAAATAATATAAATTATTCTTACCGACTGCTTTATGTTTTCAGTACAAAGAGAAAATATGTAAAATCTCAGAGTAACATTAACTATAGAAAAAATNAATCCTATGTCGTGACCCTGAAGACATGAATATTATGTGAAATTCAAGCAAATCCCGTACAAATAAATACCATAAATTATTCACGTAACGAAGAAAAATGTTCAATACCTCCGGAATCGTTAAATTTTCATAAAAAGACATCATACTTACGTTAAACGAATTCAAACCATTCATAATAACGTAAATGGATAAAATAATCATTGATTTTACAATGTAGAGACGTGCCAGGTAGTTCGTTTTATGAAGATACCTAATAATAATTTTTTTTTTTTTTTATAATATTGTGTATTGTTTATTTTTAGCAAAAAATAGCATCTTACGCTCACCGTATTATCGATTGATGTTTGAAAATACACCGACTTAAACCCTCGTAACAGTTTGTATTTTTAAATTCTCTTTTCAGCTGTTTTAATTCAACTATTGCGAGGAAGAAAAACACTAACATAAAAGAATCAAGATAAGGGAGAGACAAAATGGCTATTAATGCAAGAATTTGATGAGCACATAGTAAACTCCAAGTGGTTGATGAATTTATGGAAAATGGATAATCATTTAGTATCGGCAGTTCTGCAGGTACACCAGAAAGTGGCTTGTATATGAATAAACTGGTCACAAGTGCTATATTACCAAACGAGAAAGTGCAAAGATTAATGTAACACGAACCGTGTTTGCGTATTAATAACTTCTTCTGATCATCTGCATTTAAAATTAAATCCTCTAAAACTATTGACAGATCCTGCCAAAAAATAATCCTCATTTTAAAAGAATTTATTTTTTAATTGTTTGTAATTTTTAAAAATTAAAAATGTCATCTCACCGTTATCTGCGTACGTAGAATTTTGGAATACCAAAATATTAACAAAATTTCAAGATGAACAATCAATTTGAAGCTTAACGCATAAAAAGTAAATAAATCTGATCTAGCGTAAAAGAGGGACCGAAAAATCGCTGCCACAATGAGAGTTTGGTTGGAAAATAAAAGATACCAAATACACTGGTTAGTTAGTTTTGCAAACTTAGAAGACTTGTTATCCGTCGGATAAATCGTTAACAATCTTCCTACCGATCTGTACAATTGAAAATTAAAGAACAGAGACAGTAGCGACGCATAATTTTTAATCAACTCTTTTATTTTATCAAATAAACTTCCTTTATTGATTACACGCATTTTAACCCGAATTTAATTTCTTACACAATTTATGTCTTTAAGGTTAATTGAGAATTTTTTTTTACTGTTTATTACGATATCACATCATGATGTAAATATAAAGGTTTAGCAAAAAATAATAAGGTATGACTGAAGTCATCAAGTGCCTCGTACCTCGCATTTTCTCGTTTTCAACCGAATGAGGACTATTTATATACTCTTGTAGTAATGTCTGCATGGACTTTAATAATTAACTGATCCTCGCTTTTTCGATAATAATGCATCGTAAAAAGTCCAACGATGACATTAAATATAAATACGTCAATTACATACCTTAATCAATTATATTCGCAGGATAGGAGTATACATTAGTTGATACATCGGCAATCGATAAATTTATAAAGAAACTCATTTACTAAAGGAATAATGTATCTGAAAAAAATATGTTTACGCTTCACAACAACTTAAAATATATTGGATATTTTCTAGAACTATTGACAGTTTAAGTAATTACAAGAAATGTACTAAAGCCATGCAAGTGCTGTGTTAATTTAATTTATCTCTTAAATGTGTGTGCCCCCAAACGCAAAAACCGTTTAAACATTGAATAATTTATCTCAAGTACCACTGAGCAACCCAATTCTTTAATTAAAAAAAAATTTCTTTGCCCTCATTCTGTTAAACATTTTCTTCTGAAAAAAAAACTATAGGTTAATTGAAAAAATCATTTTATTAAATTAAATTTTTTTTTTAATTACAAATTTTTTATTTAATTGTATGAAATGCTTTTTTCGTTCGACTATAATTTTTTTAACTAAAAAAAATACTTAACAAAATGAGGATAAAGAAAATTTCTTTGAATCAATTCTTTTACT